GGCCAAACTACACGTGAGTTCAAACTACAAAATCAGGAGGAAGTCATGGAGTCAGTTCCAGGCCTGATTTATAAACATCTTCCATGTTCAAGTTTCCATTCTTTCTCCATCTGCTACTTGAATGGAGAGGAGCCAACCTTGTGTGTTGAAGATAGTGGAGCCTGGAAGGAGCCTGGTTCCTGGAATCACTGCTTGGAAGAGAGCCACCTAATCAAGAAGCCCAGGTAGGATTGCAAGGTGAAGGAGAAATAAACAATAATGTGTTGCTATTTGAGAGTTTGGCTGTTACATCATCCAGAGACAACTTAGGAGAGGCTTTCCCTGCCCATGGGTGGAGGAAGGATGGGCAGTGTGGCAAGAAGGGAAAAACTTCACAAATTCTCTTCACGGAGTCCAGAAATTTCTCCTAGAATGAGAACTGCTGGAGGGTTGACCTGGCAGTCCTCTGGCAGTCCCCTTTGTCCACTTCAGCTTCACTGGGTGAAAATACTAAAAAGGACTCAAAACCTCTTTGGTTTTCTGTGCCTCTGCAGGGCCTGCAGTAAAGTCTAATAAAAGCAGAAAGTGTGAGTAGGAAGCATCTGAAGTGGGAAATGCTGTTAGGCTGGCCCATAAAAGATGAGTGCTATGAGCAGTAAAATGAGCTAAGAAGGAAAACATGATGAATGTTTTCTCGGCCTTAAACAGCAAGATCCCCTTTCACAGTCCCACGTGGCGCTGCATGGCTGGCTGTGGGATCAAGGGGCTCTGTGCAGAGCTCGACGCCGGGACTGTGGCAGTAAGCTTGGCCTAGGGGCACTGGCGGGTTTCGGGGGGGTTGTAGCCTGACTCCTCTGTGGCCTCCCAGCCCCCACTGGTTCTTTCCAGGATAAAGACTCCCACTGAGACCCTGGAGGAAATCCTGAATTGCCCACGTTACAGTCAGGACAGCTCGCATACAAAAAGGAAATCCAGACTCATGGTACCAGGAGCAGGAGGGAGACATTTGAGAGTTGACTTAAGAAGGTGAACATCCTCTCCCCACTGCCAACCGCCATAACTCATTGTCCCATATAGAAAATACTTGTCGTTAATGTGCCGCTTCCCACCCTCTCCTCAGTTTACACGGTTGCCAGTTCTGCAAACAATTCAAATTCCGCCTTCTCCGTGAACACTCCTCTCTTTACTACAGTCCCTTTGAATCTCATTCTCAGAAAAGCATAGTGGTGGAAAGACCTGGGCTGGAGCCCTGTCTTTGTTACTTACAAGCTCTTGTGATTTTGTGCACACTGCTAACCTCTGTGAGTTTTTATTTCCCCATCTATAAAATAGGGATTGAAATACAAATTCTGTAGAGTAGTTGCAAGGATTATAGGATAAACGTGCCCAATGCATAACATGTAATAAAAACTCAATAAAAATGTGTTTCCTTCTAAACTTCTCTAGAATACATGGTCTTTACAACAAATGCAATACTTTCACTGTTCACTGTTTCACATGCATATTATCTTGACTCCTCAACTAAGCTGAAATCTTTGTGAACGTAGACATTTTCTACGTCTCCATATTACATAGAACAGTTCTGAGAAAATTATAGAATGCCAAGCCATATTTAATACTTTTTAATTATCTGTTATTCACCATTTACCTGACTGTTATTAATTAATTGATCCTTTGTTTAGTCATGAAAATAGGACATTACTGGGGCCATGTGGAAGATAGATTTCGATTTGAGGAGTCTCTAAATGGCCCCCATCCCAGAAGGCCAGCATCCAGGCTTCAGCAAATAAGGAATGATACTACAGAGCCCAGGGAAGAACGAAATACCCAGCCTCAGCTGACGGAGGACTAGCAGAACACATCTTCCAGTAAGGATATGGGTGCCCTCGGTGTAAGTTGGAGAAGCAAATTCTGAGGCAACTTCCGCATTTGTACTTGCTCAAATGTCATCTCCTTAGAGCAGCCTTTGTAGAAAACCCTATTTAAAGGAGTCTCCATCCTCATTCTCCAATTACTCTCTAACATTCCTATTATTTGTAATTACCTCAAAATGATACTTGGAGCCTGGAATTACATTGTTCGTTTGCTAGCGTATCCCATAGTAGTCTCTCACCAGACCACGAACTCCTCAATGGCAGGAATGTGTCCAATTGTTCACCTCTACACCCTCGTGTCCAGGGCAGTGCTTGACACAGAATAGGCATGAAATACATGCTTACTGAAATTGATCCAGATGAATGAATGAAGCTGTCACAGGCATAGCCCTCTCTGGAAATCAGATCTCCAACTGACAATCATAAACACAAAAGCTTTGTGAAAATTTATCTTTGTGGCTGGGTTTCCTTAGGAGGACAACTCTCCTTTAGTTTACTGAATGCAAATTGGTACAGCAGAGCTTCTCCGAAATCCTCCAAGTACTAAGCAATAAATCAAACGTTTAGCATCAGCCAAGAAACTGTGCCCTTTCATCTCAACCTTTATACCCCCACTAATGATAAAAGATTTCATAGAAGAGGGTATTAGTCTATAGGCTACAAGAAGGTTATGAATGGCTTGTTTTATTAAATTACTAAATTTGAATTGAGTTGGTATCATTTTTCCTCCAGAAGTTACTTATTTTATTGACTTTTAAGTTATTTGATTCTTTTTTATATATGTTTATTTATTTTTGACAGAGAGAGACAGAGCATGAGCAGGGCCGGGGGGGGGGGGGCGGGCAGAGAGAGAGGGAGACACAGAATCCGAAGCAGACTCCAGGCTCTGAACTGTCAGCACAGAGCCCGATGCGGGGCTCGAAACCACAAACTGCGAGATCATGACCTGAGCCGAAGTCTGACGCTCAACCAACTGAGCCACCCAGGCACCCCAAAGTTATTTGATTCTTAACCCATCATTCCTTCCATAAAAATTCTGAGCATCGTTCAAAGCTCAACCCGTGAAAACAGTTCCAATGTCACCTTCTTACACTGAGCATCTCCTCTGAATTTTTGGTCTTTTATATCATTTGCCCCACAAGGTGCATGACTGCCTCAATAGTGAACGCTTTGAAGAAAGAAACTATGACATGCCTTTTTTTCTTTTCAGCACTCCATTATGTACAGGGGATCCTGGCAGGCTAGTATCAAAATTAAATTTACATTAATCTGCCATGGAATACGATATGAAGAATAAATCTTTGTTAATATGGGCCCATTCGTTTGGAGTCAATGCTAATTCAGCCATGCAACCATTTTGCACTGTCCTTGAAAAATGGGTTTGGTTGACAAATTCAGCAGTAAGAATGACTATGTATTGAGATTCTATACTAGGTCACAAACTTTCCTGGGATGCAAAGAGGAACAAGACAGCCTTTCCTCCAGAAACATGAATGAGGGCAGAATAGCTTTCTACTACCTCTATGTATGTAATCAGTGTGCCAATTATAATGAATTCTCACCATTACTTAAAGAGAATGGGGTAAGGCATATTCTTGACAAATTCTTTATCCAGTTTGTTAAAATAAATGTTTTTATTACTTTCTCGTTTATAGATAGAAACATATGCCATAATTGAGATGTAATTGATTTGGACCATTCTAATTAATACAAATTACAGGAATGTTTCTGTAATCAACACTCATAAGTGATTATTGAAATTATTATTCTGTTCAATGAAAGTATGGAAATTTCTGTGTAAAGTTTGCTTCTTGGCATATTGTGATTATCTGTTACTTAAAACCTCAAACACTATTAGGCCAGTGCATAATATTTGGTATGCTGTTAAATCAGAAAGAAATAACTGTAAGCTTTATATGTAGTTGTTTTCTATCTACCATCATGAAGCCAAGGATTGACTGCAAGATTTCCATTTAAATAATGCCTATTTAAATCTTGAGATATGTCATACCCACAATCCATTGAGATTGGGGATCTAGCCCAGTGGAGATCCAGCCATTATCTCAGCTATTTTGGCAACCACGTGATAGCTAATGGAATTAACTTGGCATGCCAGTCTTTGAAGTTATTTATAAAACTGACGCAATGATTGGAGAAGTTTTTACTCCCCCAAACCAAGCTCCATTTCCAGTGAATCGGTGTGCTCATGGACAACCTGACCCCCGAAATCGAGCCCCGATGAAATGGGTCAGTGGACTCCCAACGTCGCTGTCAACCGGAAATGACCCAGGATGGAGGGAGAGCAGGGGCTCTGCTGTTTGGCTCTGCTGCTTCCCATCCATGTTGAATCACTGGCGGGTCACAACTTTAAGAATTCTCATCTCCCATTTGCAAAAACAATACTTCCCACCCTGTCCTTGGACACTGTGAGGCTCAAATGAGAGAATAGGGGAGTGTTTATAAGTGAACAGCCTGAGGCACTTTATTAGTCTATCAGTCATTTGGTGCATGAGAACTCAAAATCATGCCTCTGGTCTTGCGGTGGTGCGTTTAAGGGGGGGGGGGTATAAATTTATGATTAAACAACCTCAGAGTCACTCTCCCCTCACTCCCTTTGGATAGAATTTCTTTCCTGATTGCCCAAGTGCTTCATGGGACTGCTGGGGCCCTGCAGGACTCTGAGGTCAAATCGCCAGCTCAATCACTTGCTACCTGAGGGCCTTAATCAAGTACTGAAACTTTTTAAAGCTTGTTTCCAGATCTATGAAATGATGATAAACTAATATCTCACAGAACAGTGGGAGGATGAGAGGAGATAGTCATAGAATGGTATCACGCCGGGCACATAGCCAGGGTGAGGATCGCTGTTAGACTCACTGGCATCTGCAGCGAATGTGAGAGGTGAACATCCCACAGAGTTAGACCTGGTTTCAAGTCCTGGCTCCCTCTCTGACACTCTGTGATCCTGGATAATCCGCTCAACCTCTCTGGAGCGCAGTTACTAATCATAAAATGAGCATGGTAATATCTACTTCATGAGGTCTACACAGAGATCACGTAAAGTGGTATAGATGACCGTGCTGTGCTTATTACAAAGCATAATGGAAACGCATAGACTTTTTACTTTTTCCATACAAACACACAGGAAACAATTGCAAAGATTTTATTTAGCGGCTTTCTGTGCTTGGCACTTAGAAACAGTTCCGTGCATAAGGGCAAATTTTTTATACACCTTTACTTCATACATATTTTACATACCCTTTTTATTGCCCCCTTTTTTAATATTCATAATATTGGATTCCCCACTAGGCACATAAATACATTTATCTACAACACCTCAAAACCAAAAATCTTAATAATATCTGTATTACTTGGTATTATTTGCATTTCCACACCACTTAAAAAGTTTAGCTTGCACCAAACTTTACTTGTTTTCTTAACATTAAAGGATTTGAGGGGAAAGGGAAAGATGAAGGAAAAAAACCCAAACTTCAAAATGCAATAAACTATTTGATAAAAATGGAGACCTAAGGGCAGGTGGAAGGATGCAGAAAGGCCCATCTGTAATTCCCTGGAACGTGACTGGATTTCTCCTGCCCCGGGGGCTGCGGGGCAGGCAATCCAGGTCAGGTGTCTGGATCTGGCATGCAGACGGCCAGGCCTCGATTTGTCGCCTCTGCTCTTGGTATCATCTGTCGGGCTTATAACACCCTTCCTTCTTCACACTCCTGTTCCCCCTCCCCCGCCAGGCTTCGCGCTCTGGAATGGGCACTTCCCAGGCAGCGCACCCCTCTTCTGGATCATGCTGGTCAGAGCTGTGGGATCCAAGTGCATTCCTTGCCCGGGTCCTCTCTCCGGTGCCCTGACTCTGCACAGTGTCCCAGAGAGGCTTACTCCTCGGTAACGCCATGATTCTATCACCTGTAGGGGGGAGGGGGAGAAACGACCCCAAACCAATCTCCTCGGTGCGTTGTCACTCTCACCATTGCTCACACTTCCTCTCTCAGTCTCGCTCTCCGCCTCTCTCTTGCCCACTACTCCTTCTCCTTTCTCATTCGGCTACTCTTACTCCCTTTTCACAGGTACCACTGGGAACGTCAGCGATCGAACACAGAGTGAGGAGAGCCAAAGTTCAAAAGCCATCTTTTTCAGGAAGCCAAGTCCAGTTGTAGTGGTGGTGTCTGTCCACCCTTGTGGATGGGAGGGGTTCCAGGATACATGGTTCATTCCAGAAACAGGGTAAGCTGCAGGGGGGAAAGGTTGGCAGCTACTGCTGGCCCAGTCCATCTAGCGTTGTACATAGACCGATTCTTGGTGAAAGCACCCACCTGGGCCCCCCTCCACAGAGTTCGCCCAGTTCCAAGTCTGTGTGTGTGTATCGCTGTAGGTAAGTTTGTGTGCGAATATGTATGTGTGTGTGTGTGTGTGCATGCATGCACGCATGTATGTACGTATGTGTGTACGTATAGGTAGGTCTGTATTTGTGTGGGGGTAACTTTTTATGGCTGCTACATGCTAGCATCTCCCTTAACATTATTATAAAATGATAATTCAGTTTCTTCAAAGGCCACTCTAGAGTAGACAATGCTTTATAAAACTAAGGTTTGGGAAGGCAGGAGAATGGCCACTGAGTCGGAGATGATTCCACACGGTTAAGTATCCTTCAGTGGCTTAAAGGTCTTTTGTTCTTCTTCGGGATGTGCTTTCCTCCTCCAGAAAAAAAAGAAAAAAGAAGAAAGAATACACAGTTCCCGTTTTTCAAAGGCGTTGGGCTCCCAAAGAGGAGGATCTGCCCGTGGAGACTGGGGCCCCGGCTCCGTGCTGTTCGGCCTGGCCATTAAACCATGTGCACGGACATCTGGGAGGAGGAGCCTGGGACCGCCCCGTACTGCCGGCCGTCACAGGTGTTAGTCGCCTGCTGGTTGTTGGGCGAAGGGCTAATCATGTGCATGCTGTGCTCCATCCCCGTGGGCAGGTACTGCCTCTCTCCAAAGGCCCCATTGGAAGGAGAAGAACAGAGTAAAGTGCTTTGAGAGGCGCTCAGTTTTTCCGGGCTGGCGGCTAGCCTCGGAGAAGTGGGGAAATTGTATCCGTACAGATTGTAAGGGTTGTGGAGAGAGAAGGCGTTATAGGAGCTCTGCTGCATGTGGCTGCCCCCGAACATGTGTGGTGAGGAGGAGCTCGAGGCTGCATTGCCGGCCTGCATGACATACTGGAACTGGGAAGTGGGGAAGGACCCCAGCTGGCCACCGTAGGCTTCCATCTTGCTGTTGCTAGGCAACGAGGGAGGAGTCGGTATTCCTGAGATCAGGGATGGAGTCCTCTGAGGCATGAAGGTTTCGGAGGGCTGAGTGGCTGAAGCAGTGCCACTCTGGAGCCTGTTGTAGCCACTGTCACTCAGCCCCGGGTAGCTCTGCAAGGCAGCCATGTTGCTTCGGGCACATGGTGGATAATCAGAGAGGTTTAGATTGCACAGCTGGCTCTCTCGACAGCCCACGTTGAAAGTGTTGGGGGCCAGGTGAAATGTTGGAGGAGAACAGGATGGAGACAAAAGGTGAGAAGAAGCTGAAGGCGATGGTGTCCCAGTGCTGGAGGTGGTCGGGGAAGTGCCTGTGCTGCCCCCTGAAAAATAAAAGGTAAATACCATTGAGACAGAGGCCCGTCCAGGCCAGAGGCAAGCCATGCAGGAGGTACCCTCAAATGTCCCAGACGGGCTGATTTTTACAGAACCACAGCTTTCTCTTAACTCAGCAGACCTAAGTGATTCTATCTGTGCACACATACATAGGCACACGCGTGTGCACACACACTCTCCAAAAAAGACAGAGATGACACAAAAGAACACTAAACTTTTGTGTGTAAATGCCTTCAAAGTCTTCTTTAAAAAAAACAAAAACCTTCCAATATTCACTTTGCCACTTCTCACTTGAGGCACGAAGAAGAAACAAATTCACTTTCCAGTAAGACCTCTGGTACTCAGCATTAAAATCCCCCCCACAAAACTTCTTCCGTTCTCAGTGGAAAGGCATGAAATATATGTTTTCACCAGGGACTGTTGCAGACTTTGCCATATTTAGTCTTCCAGGTAAAAACACAGCATACCAAATCTCAGGACCGTACCCACAGAGGAAATGGGGCACTGGGTCAAGGTTGAGGACTGAGAGGGGCCCAGGTAGTGGGAAGGGAGGCACTGGCCTGAAGTTCTGTCATATGAGAGGTATTATGAGTACAACCGGAAGAGCTAAGCAGAGCTAACCTGTAACTAAATCATCATAATCCAGAGGGTCTGCCAATCTCCCTCTGTAAGACCCTGTCCAGTCTCAGAGACTGGAACAAGGACTGTAAATGTAGTCTGTGGATTTGGGATATTTGTGAGGGCAGGGGTTCAGACAGTCACAAAGTCAGGAGGCCTGCGCCCTCACAGCTCTGCCACACGAACCCCCCCCCCCCCAGCTGACCCTGAGCACATCACTTATCTTCTCTGGGTTTGTTTCTTTATCCAGAAGATGAGAAATTGAATTGGATAAGTTAGGAGAAGCTACAAGCTTTAAGTGACAGGATCCCACCTCAGACCAACTAAACAGCAATCAAATGATTCTAATGTGCAGCCGGGGGTGAAAAGCAATGATAATACCCAAATTCCTTATTTCAAAGTGCCCAGAATAGCAATCCTTAAACTTTAAGGGCCATGAGAATCACCTGGAAGGCTTGTTAAAATAGATTGCTAACTGTCCCCACCCACCACCCCGAGTTTCTGATTCTACAGGTCTGGGGCAGGGCCTGAGAACGTGCATTTCTGAGATTGATGCTGTTTACTGGCATAGAGACCACACTTTGGGGTAGAGGAACTCCAGCTCCCTTTCATCTCCTAAAGTCCCCGTATCTGTGTTTGAAAGAGTTGCTTCTCTGACGTGTGGATATTAGAACTAGATTGGCAGCTGATGCACCAACAGATGAAGGGCCAGTTCAACCCAACCTACTTCAAATGTGTTCTCAGAAGCCAAAAAAAAAAAAAAAAAAAAAGGCCTTTCCAAGCTTCTCCTTTCCCAGGGCTAGGAAGCAGCAGAGTAGCAACCGCTTTTTGCCTCGCCCACTGGCAAAGACAGTGGGGACTGCTGGGGCCGCTGGACCTGTCATCTGAATTCCAGAACGGGAGGCTGCTTTGTCCTCCACGGAGACCCTCCGATGATGGACTCCCTCCTTCAGGGCAAGGTTGGGAATTTCCCAGAGTTCTTTAAAAGCACAGCTTCCCCCCACCCCCACCCCACGAGCCTGGTTATCTTCAGGTCATCCACAACTCATGTGAGGAACCTGAGCTGCTATAAAAGGGTAAAGGACATTTTAAGTGGAAAGGAACAGGAATAAGGTTTTTATCCGTGAGAGAAATGTGAAGAAAACCAGCAGGATTCCAGGGATATTGAGATACAGAGGAACCATCCACAGTGTGCCAGGGAGGAGGATCCAGATGTGCACACTGAGACGCAGATACCTCAAAGAGAAACCCAAAGTTAATTTTTAGCCTCAGCCTACGTGCACAGATATGGTAGTAGTATTGAAGTACAAACTTAGCTCCTGTCAACAGCTTTGTCAGAGTTAAATTTTTACAAAACCCAACTAGTATCACTTCTTCCTTGGTCACAAAAATTTCCCCCATGAAACTTCCAAGGTAGAACTACAAACAGGAGCTGATTTTAGTTAGAGTCATTTCAGGAAATTCTCCTTCTTTGTTTCTTCTTCATGCCTTAAATTCCTTTAAGAGGGTTCGCGAAAAGATTTTTATTCCACAAACTGAGAGAAGGCCAACATTGTCAACACCCCTGGGAGAAGGAAGCCAGCAGCTGACGGTCATAGGAACAGCACCCAGACAAATTCTAGGTCTGCCGGCCTCCACCCGGCTCATGACCACAGGCAACGTGTCCTGCCTCTTCGTTCTCCTCATCTCTGAAAGACGGTCTCAAACTGATAAGGCTTCACTTTCTATCCTTGCAGAATTATATTTGTGTCTGAGGATGAAACTTACACAAAAGTGTGCATGGCCAACAAGGACTTTTTTTTTTTTTTTAATTTTTTTTTTCAACGTTTTATTTATTTTTGGGACAGAGAGAGACAGAGCTTGAACGGGGGAGGGGCAGAGAGAGAGGGAGACACAGAATCCGAAACAGGCTCCAGGCTCCAAGCCATCAGCCCAGAGCCTGACGCGGGGCTCGAACTCCCGGACCGCGAGATCGTGACCTGGCTGAAGTCGGACGCTTAACCGGCTGCGCCACCCAGGCGCCCCAACAAGGACTTTTCAAGGAATCCTTTTAATATAAAGGAGTTTGGGAAGGGGGCAGCTGAGAAGGAGGAGGAAGAACATCTCCCACTTCTTGTTTTTGGATGACTGCATGGCCTCGGCGACAGGGCCGGCCGGGGAAGGTCAGAGATTCGTTTTCTGCAAGCGGCATTCTGCACACATCTTCCTCCTCTTCCACCCTAAACACTATGAGCTTCGGTGAAAGCAGCGCTGTGGCGCAAGTGGAGAAACTTGACTCCAGCTGTAAAGAGGTTTGTGTTTTATGGGATATGTATCTGGTCTCCTCTCTTTGAAGGTCCGTTCTTGCTCTCCCAGATCTGGTGTTTATGGGGTCCCCGAAGAGACCCCCTGTTCGGCACACTGTACCGTCCTGTTGTGGGTTCGCTCTGTCAGGCACTGGCCCTCGCCCTGCAGCAGGAAGCGCAAGATGCAACAGATGACTTTTTACAACTCTAAATGGTTTTCTCAGATGGCCCGAGATGGAACGAATGGTACTGATTTAAGGCCTCAATTGGTTTCACTACAAAAAAATAAGAAGGGAGCTATTAACAAGTCACAGGGATTTCTGCTGAGCAGATGAGAGGTACATGTTAAAAAGTTTGTAGTCAGCTTGCTTTGGCTTTTAGATGACACTCCCTGGAAATGAGACTTGGTGGCCTGCTGAGTTTCAGGGGGCGGGAGCCCCCACATGAACCAGTGTTTGAAGCTGGGGAGCAAGCCTGTCCAAGAGAAGGTCACATTGCTTCCATTCACTTTGAAGAAGTGCTCTTGTGCACTTAAAGTACTCAATACAAACGACAGCTAGTTTTCAAAGTCCACATAGAGAAGACTGTGGCACTCATTTTGCAGAGAAGCAAACGAGATACCGAGAAGTCTTTACTCTCGCATGATCTAACAGCTTGTCGGCTGTTAAACAAGATCGGAAGTGCCAGCCAAGCGCTAAATAAGCATAAGGAGGCAGGCTGCCCTCCCTGTGCATCTCAACACTCGGCTGCCTGAGGCCTCTCATCACAAAAGAGCTAGGGCAGAGTGGAAAGCCAGGCGACACTGATACAAAGGGGGCAGAGCTGCCTCTCAGAGAAAAGCACACCTCCCTTTCTTGTATAACATTCTCGCCTCACCCCTCTGCCACAGCCAGGTCCTGAATGCTCTCAGGGTCTTGACTGAAGCTTTATTTAATAGATGAGTGTGGGCTGTAGCGTTTGGATTGCCCAGCTGTCTTACTGATTACGGGACCTTGCAAGTTAGCCTCTCTCTATACAAATGGAATTTCGGGTATCTACCTTTGTAGGGATGTTCTGAGAAACAGATGAAATAACATATAATACAAAGTGCACAAAGGCATTAAATATTTATTTCCTTTTCTTTTCCCTTCTGTCAGTGAAGAAGGAGTGAAAGAAGGAGAAAGGAATCACAGGGCATTTGGGTTCTGATGGGGAGACTCTCAGATGTTGGCTTCTGTCTATGGAGCTGAGCATGTCTGGCCTCCCCACACTCTGGTGAGCATATGTCACAGCTAGATGCCCGGATGTAACAGGCTGGAGGAGCCTCCGTGGTTGCGAATGACAGAGCACTGGACCCGTGACCACTATGGGCCCTCTAAGCCTGTACTCCCAAAGGCTAAACCAGCTCTGTTTCCTCTCTGAACTATCTTTCCCTCTCGCCTCACCCCTGCCTAGAATGGAAATTCCATGCTCTATGTCTCTATTCTCAGATCAAGCAAGCGGAATTGAACACAAATAGGTAGGTTGGTGTCTTTCCCACTGTCCCCAGAGGCCTTAATCCATGTCTGAGAGGTGATTAAAATGTAATGCCCTAAGTAGCTGAAAACTCTCTGGTATTCCAGGACCAATCCCCCACCCGCCCCACCTCCCTGCATCTTGTTTTACCCATGGACCCAAGTGAGGAGATATTCATTGAAATTCATATTCAACATTAACTTGTTCCAATATTCAAGGCTTACAGCCAAAATAACCAAAAAGAATACATGTTTAGCAGTGATTCCATACGAGGACAATAACCTAGAATATACTTGTGTACCATGAAGACAAGTACAATGTGACCATGAAAATCCTGAATACCAAACCTGCTGACTTTTGCATCTTTAAATTGATCACTTCCAGATTGTAATATGGAGGCGTTCACATACAGTTTCCTTTTGGGTTTATTTTGTTGTGCTTCCCCCCCCCCCCAAAAAAATTGAAAAACAGTAAAAACAAGACCCCATCTGGGCTAGTAAAGAATAAATTTCCATGTAATTACTTGATTGCGTAAGCCAGACTCTTCTCTCATATAACTTGGTGGCATGTGTCCCTTGGAGAATGTGGGA